AGGGTTGGAATTTAAGGTCCTATTAATAATAGCCAATGCACCTGGCCATCCTGAATCTGTTTGCTATGAAAATGAAAATTTTGAGGTTGTATTTTTACTTCCAAATACAACCTCATTGCTTCAGCTCATTGACCAAGGCATTGTTTGGTTTGTCAAGGCCACATACACCCACTTGGCATTTGATCATCAATTGATGCAGACCCCTTTCTGGACAGAATTCAGTGCTGGAAATCGTTCACTACTGCTGACACAAAATTGCAATGGATGAATTAAAACTAGAAACTGTACATGCCTTCTGGGAGAATTTACGAAGTTGTGAATGATTTTAAAGCTTCCTGGGGATTGATAAAGAAGTTAGGAAAACCATTTATGTAGCAAGACAAGTTGGTGGAGGATTTGCTGATATGTTTGATGAAAAAGTGAAAGAAAATGCTGAAGGCCACTGAGAAGTTTTAACAAAGGAGGAATTAGAAGAATTTGTTGTGTAGGCTATAGAGGAAGAAGAAGATAAAGAAGAAACAAGCAAAACCAGCAATGTGGACATTACTGAAATTTGCCCAAGGGTTTCAAATCTCACAGACATTAAAGGACAAGATTATGTAATACAATCCTCAGATAGAACACAGCATTAAAGTCACCCATATGATCACTGAACAATGATCATTTCTGCAGCAACATTTGGGTGTTAAAAAAAAAAGACAACTTCTGATTACTATCTTCTTCCAAAAGGTTTCAGCAAAAAAACTTTCAACTATTGATGATCCCCATCTACTGACATCATCTGCTCCTGACATCCAACCGTCAACATCATCATGGCTCGATCCAAGATCACCTGAAGCAGATGAGCCTTCTTCTGCTGTATCATCAGGTCAACGGCACCCGAACACTACATGACAATGCCTGTGTCACTCAGCTCACTTCATCTCATCACACAGGCATTTTAACATCTCACATCATCACAAAAAGACCGAGTGCAGCACAATAAGATCTTTTCAGAAAGACCACATTCACATAACATGTATTACACAATATTGTTATAATTGTTCTATTTTATTATTAGTTACTGTGCATCTTTTATAGTGCCTGATTTATAAATTAAACTTTATCATAGGCATGAATGTATTTTAAAAACACAGTATATAGACTTCAGTACTATCCATTTTCAGGTATCCACTGAAGGTCTTGGAACATATCCTGCATGGATCGCGGGGAACTCTTCTACTAGAATTTATACTCCCCTCTCTTTGACTGCAGGTGGGACACTGGTGGCCTTTGGCAGGAGGGGACTGAAAAAAACATGATTTAAATTTTGGTATTACAAATGAATAAGAAATTAATCCCATGACTAAAGTTATGAGGTATAAAAATTCATTAAAGCATAAAAATTTATGAGAATAAAAAATAAAATCTGCCTGAGGAAAAATATCTGAATTTGTACACACATGGTAATACTGGCTCAGAATGTATAAGGATTAAATGGAGAAAATTACAAGTTGATCTAAAAATCCATAATTACAATGGGAAATTTCAATATATCTTCTCAGGAAATGAGAAATATAATATTTCTTAGCAAACAAGTACTTGAAGCAGTTAATAAAAGTTTTCTAAGAAAAAACTACAGAAGCATTCATTAGAGAAAAAATGCACATACTTTGAATCACATACAAAAGTAACTGAAAACATTGAGGGACTACACTCAACTATAAGCAACAGGAAACATCCAGAATCTGCCTGACATGAGGACGATGCCAATTCTCACATGCAAGCACTCAGTCAGAGCAGTCACTGCACAGTTCACTGAAGGAACAAACTCTCAAACTTTTTTTGACGGCACCAATGTTATTGTCATAGTGGAATCAGTAACACATGGTCACTAGCAGTATTAACAGGACAAGATGTCTACTATACAAATCAGACTTCATAGGAATACATCTAGAGAAGAGGGGAGTAGTGCTACAGAGAATCTTCTCAATCACGACAGTCTAAATTTGTTGCCTGGTAGACACGAGGGGATGCAGACAAGTCTAACGTGGGCTGGATCCTTCATGTTGGATTTTGGAGGCAACTGTAGAACCCTACAGCTTGGGTCAAATGGAAATCAAACCGTCCTGGTTTTGAGGATATTCTTGATTAGCAGGGCAAGAATGAGGAAAACAGACTGGAAGGACAAGTCTGAGAAGGCCCTTGGCTTCTGTCTGTCTTCTGTCTATACAGATGGCTCCAAAACTTGCCTAATCCCATTTCATGTCTGCATTCCAAATTTCCTGTTTTGATGAATTCACAGAACCACAAGGATAATAGATTCTAGAAAATGTAGTTCACAACACTACTCACGTCGACATAACACAGTCAAGAAGAATCATCTCCGACTCTAGATTTTATTGTCCTATCACAGGTCTCTCTTCTTAATGCAAACTCTATAGCCCAAATCCCAGCCAGAAGCAGTGACAAAGAGCAAAGGACAAAAGATAAAAATAATAGTTCACGTGAGACTATACGATGAAATTTGCATACTTGCAAATATATAGAAAATGTTTATTGGCAAGGAAAATGGAATAAGGCTCTTCAGGCCAATGAAATGGAAGATTTCTGTTAAGAACAAAATATAATGGGTAAGGCTTATCCAGGACTTGCCATAGGAGATCAGTAGGAAAAAACCAACAAATACCAAAGTGTAATTTTTCAATGTTTCTTTCCTTAACAAATTACAAAATTATATAAAAACTAAACCTATTTGCATATTAGAAATACACTTCAATTCAGCCATGAAGCCAACAGACTTCAAAATACAAACACAAAAATTTTACTGACTAAAGGGAAAAAAAATTACCTATTATATTTAAGAACTCTGGCTTAAGGAATACATACAGAATATCTCACTCCAATATTTACTTGCAAAAGTAAGTAGAACTCCACACTACAGAGACTCACTTGAAAAAGGAGTCACTGAGAAAGGCCATATTAGAATAATTATAACACTTCTTCCACGTTGTGAATTTTTGAGAGTACTCTACATGAATTAATTTGCACCAGGCTTACCCGTATCACAGGCATACCGTCACATATTGTGAGCTCAGTGTCAGACCACCACAATAAAGCAAACATAATAAAGTGAGTCACACGAATTCTGTGGTTTCCCAGTGCATATAAATGTTTACGCTATAGTCTATTAAGTGTGCAACAGCGCTATGTATTAAAAAAATCAATGCACATACCTAAAATTTTATTAAAAATACTTTATTGCTAAGAAATGCTAACCATCACCTCAGCCTTAAGTGAATCCTAATCTTTTTGCTGGTGGAGGGTCTTGCCTCAATGCTGACTAATCAGGGTGATGGTCACTGAAGCCTGGGATGGCCACAGAAATGTCTTAAATTAAGACAACAATGAAGTCTCCCACAATAATGGGCTCTCCCTTTCATGAATGATTTCTCTGTAGCATGTAATGCTGTTTGATAACATTTCACCCACAGAACTTCCTTCAAAATTCCAGTTGGTTCTCTCAAACTCTGCCACTGCTTCATCAACTAAGTTTATGTCATATTCTAAATCCTTTCTCATAATTTCAACAATCTTCACAGCATCTTCACCAGGAGTAGATTCCATCTCAAGAAACCACTTTCTTGGATCATCCATAAGAAGCAATTCCTCATTTGTTAAAGTTTGTTTATGAGACTGCACCAACTCAGGCACATCTTCAGGTACCATTTGTACTTCTAGTTGTCTTGCTATTTCCATCACACCTGCAGTTACTTCCTCTGTTGAAATCTCGAATCTCTGAACGACGGTTGGAATCAACTTCTTCCAAACTCATGTTACTCTTCATATTTTGACCTCTTCCCAGGAATCATAAATGTTCGTAGTCATATATCATTGTGAACCCTTTCCAGAAGGCAAGGATTTCAATTAACTTTGCCCAGATCCAGCAGAAGAATCACTATCTATGGCAGATACAGCCTTACAAAATGTCTTTCTTAAATAATAAGACTTGAAAGTCAAAATTTCTCCATGATCCACGGGCTGCAGAATGGAGGCTGCCTGAGCAGACAACAGTAATCTCATTGTACATCTCCACCAGAGCTCCTGGGTGACAAGGTGCACTATCAATGAGCAGTAATATTTTGAAAGGAATCTTTTTCTGAGTAGTAGCTCTCAACAGTGGGCTTAAAATAGGGTCTTGCTCTGGATTAGACTTTGGCTTAAGGGAATATTGTGACTGGTTTGATCTTCTATCCAGACCACTAAAACCTTCCCCGTATCAGCAATAAGGCCAGTTCACTTTATCATTCATGTGTTCACTACAGCAGCACTTCTAGTTTCCTTCAAGAACTTTTCCTTTGCATTCACAACTTGACTAACTGGCACAAGAGGCCTAAGTTTCAGCCTGTTTTGGTTTTCAACGTGCCTACTTCACTAGACTTAATCATTTCTAACTTGACTTAAAGTGAGAGATTTGTGACTCTGCCTTTTACTTAAACCCTTACGCCACTGTACGGTTATTAATTGGCCTAATTTCACTATGGTGTCTCGGGGAATAGAGAGGCCCTAGGAGACAGAGAGAGAGATGGGGGAATGGCCAGTCAGTGGAGCAGTCAGATCACACGCTATTGCTTAAGCTTGCTATCTTATACGGGCATGGTGTGTGGGGCCCCAATCACAAAAACAATTACAATGGTAACATCAAAGATCACTGACCACAGATTACCATAATAGACTAATAATGAAAAAGTCCGAGAATTCCCCAAACGTGACACTGAGACACAAAGTGAGCAAATGCTGTTGGATAAGTGACACTGATTTATTTGCTCAATAGACTTGCTCAATGTGGGGCTGCCAAAATCTGCAATTTGTAAAAAAAAAAAAAAAAAGTACCTCAAAAGCACAATAAAGTGAAGTGAAATATAACAAGGTATGCCTTTACTTATATTAATATGATTTCTTGCCAGTACAGTTTTCAATACTACTCAAAAAGTACTTGCTGAAATTACAAAGTTTCTCTATTTTTTAGTCATATAGTATGTATCCACTGCACATTCTCGCATGGTTTTGTGGGGCAAGTGAAAGTTTTCCTACATTGTTTACATTCAGGAGAATTCTCTCTACTATGAGTCGTTTCATGGTTCCCAAAGAAATGAGACAGCAGAAGGCCTTCCCACATTCTTTACATTTATAGTTTCTCTCCAGTGTGCATACTTATGTTTCATGTGTCCATGAAAGTTTGTGCAACAAAGAAGGCTTTCCCCCATTCCTTATGTTCATAGACTTTCAGGTATGAGTTCTTTCATGATTTTGTAAAGAACTGGGACGAGTGAAGGCTTTACCACAGCTTTTACACTGATAGGGTTTCTCTCCAGTATGACTTCTTTCATGTTTTCGTAATGAACTGGGACAATCAAAGGCTTTCCCACATTCCTTACATTTATAAGGTCCATCTCCAGTGTGCGTTATCATGTGTCTTTGAACATATGAGAGATAAACGAAGGCTTTCCCACATTCCTTACATTCATAGGGTTTCTCTCCACTATGAGTTCTTTCATGTTTCTGAATGGAACTGAGATAGGCAAAGGTTTTACCACATTGCTTACATTCATATGGCTTTTCCCCAGTATGACTTCTTTCATGTTTTTGAAGGGAACAGGGAAAACTGAAGGCTTTGCCACATTCCTTACATTTATGAGGTTTTTTCCTAGTATGAATTCTTTCATGATTTTCAAGGGACCTGGGAGTACTGAAGGCTTTACCACATCCCTTACATTCATAGGGCTTTTCTCCACTGTGTGTGCTTTCATGACATTGTAAGTAATTGGGACAATTAAAGACTTTCCCACAGTCCTTACATTTATAAGGTCCATCTCCAGTGTGCTTCATCACATGTCTTTCAAGGCTGGTGAGAGAACTGAGGGATTTTCCACATTTTTTACATTCATAAGGCTTTTCTCCACTGTGTCTCCTTTCATGAATTTGAACGGATTTGCGACAACTAAATGCTTTACCACATGGCCTACATTTATAGGGTTTCTCTCCATTATGAACTCTTTCATGTTTTCGAACATAACTTGGCCAAAGGAAGGCTTTACCACATTGCTTACATTTATAGGGTTTCTCTCCAGTATGAACTCTTTTATGTTTTTGAAAGTTATTTGGACAACCGAAGGCTTTACCACATTTCATACATTCATAAGGCTTTTCTCCACTGTGTCCCCTTTCATGACTTCGAAAAGACGTGAGACAACTGAAGGCTTTACCACATTGCTTACATTTATATGGTTTCTCTCCAGTATGAATTCTTTCATGTTTTCTAAAGTAAGTGGGGCAACTGAAAGCTTTACCACATTGCTTACATTCATACGGTTTCTCTCCTGTGTGAGATTTTTCATGAAGTTGACAGGAACTGAAACAACTCAGGGCTTTACCACAGTACTTACATCTATAGGGTTTCTCTCCAGTGTGAATCCTTTCATGCCTTCGAATGGATCGGCGATACTTCAAGGCCTTCCCACATTCCCGACATTTATATGGCTTCTCTTCACATTCCTGATACACGTATGATTTGGATGTAGCGTGAGATCTCAGGTGCCTACTAAAGGATGAATGATCCATGAAGACTTCTCCACAAAAACTGCATTTACAAAGCTTTATTCCAATAGGAGTTTTCTTTGTCTGATTATGAATTGGAATCTGGCTGAAGGTTTCCCCATACTGACTACGTTCTTTACTCTTCACAAGTCTCTCAAGCATATGACTGCTGTAAAATAAAGAGAAGCACATTATCAATGGCTTATTTACTAATGATTTCATACCTATCAATAGTTACGACAATGACTTTTTTACTGTAATCAAGGAATGTGTAAATTCCAGCACTCTGATTGAATGTTGAATGCTGTGCAAGAGGGCTCCATCGTAGCTATTACCAAAACAGTGATATGCATAACTGAGGTTTCTAAATAGTGTTTCCAAGTCTACTACTTTTCAAACACTATCTACCACATTTGAGAAAAATATTTTGATAAAAATATTCTAGGAATGAATCAATATGAAACTGTGCTGATTTGTTCTATACGCTGTTTTTAAAATGTCATGACACAGGAAGATTCTCGCATGGGATATTGCTTTCTCATGTGAGTGCAACTCACCTTAGATCTGTCCTGTGATTTTCATAGTGATCTTCAACGTTATGGTCTTCCCATTTTCCTCCTAAAATGCAGACCAGGAAAAGTCATCGGAAATTATAAAAGACTATAGAAAAATCGTTAGATTCTAGGTCGATGATGAGCTGTGACCATGCCTCGTTTATTTACAATCTATTCCCTTTCTACATTTCACCTCCTGAAACAGCACTGATGAGCAAGCAACACTAGTTTTCTAACTGACTACGTAATTAAGTAAGAATGTTGTCATCCCTACCTATTGAGGCCAGATTCCTGAAGGTTTCCTTCATCACATCTCTGTAGAGTTTCTTCTGGGATGGACCCAGCAGAGCCCACTCTTCCATGGTGAACTTTACACTCACATCCTCAAAGGTCACTGAATCCTAAAACATCCCAAATACATATATAGGAGGATGAGTGAGACAAACAGCAGTGTGGAGCTATACTCAAGTCATAAGAAGTTTACATATGACTCTGTTGTCTCCGTATATTTATTCTATAACCTGGTCTTCAGAACTCATTCTCTGGCACACTCACTTCCTCATAAATTTAACAGCATCATGAACACATGGAATTTATTGTACATTTTTATTCTGATCACTTCAAGTCTTCATTGCTCTGTAGTGTCAGGATACGAGAGCCCCATGGAGAAAAGAAAGAAATGCTATACAAATGACATAAATATTACCATATTAAGCACTGCAATTCCTCATGAGATAAACTCCTTCATATCCTTCTTTAACACCCACCATATCACACAGTACTGCATAAAGCATAGGGTCACATCTACATGAGGGTTTAGTGAATAAAAACAAAGCAAAGAACTGCAAGCTTTCTCTTCTATTCCCATCCCCAAACAGGAGACACCAGAAGGCCTGTGGAAATCCAACCTGTAACAAGATCCAGCTGGCCATATTGTCCTGACCTAGTCCAGGCCATGAGAAGTAGTCAGATCCAGCTGGCTGAATGAAAATATTCTTGTGGAGGAAAATGATTTATAATTAGTTCATAAAATATTTCCACAGACTCAATTTTATCTTCTCTTCTCTATCTCCTTTCATGGGGCTAGGAAGTTATTCAGAAGCTATAGCTCAGGCATGTGGAAGAAGGCATGTAACACAGACCTGCACAAAATCCCTCCACTCATGAGCCTCAGGGTTAGTTCCCATCAATTTTTAGACACATAGGAATGCACACTGATGATGAGCTCGCATAAGAGGTTTTCCTGGCAGAATCATAATAGTGTAACCTGGGCCTTGGTGACCTTGAGGAACAGGTTAAGACGTGGAATTTGCAGGAAATTTCATTGAGGTCCACGATGGTTTGATGATGAATTTGCACATGATTAAAACTACACAAAGAGTTCAACAGTGCTTTCCTCCAAAAGAACATAAAATCTCCTTTCTCTAATTTCAGCAATACCCAACCAGCCACTCTAGAGGCTGACCTCTCAATTTCTCTTTTCTGAGTTCCCCTGTGAGGCACAGCAGCATGACAGCCCATCCCAAGCATAGGAACCCCTCAGTGGCATAATTCCCCTAAATGCTGGTCCCGGAAAGAGATCAATAATCCACTGACGTCCATGTGCAGGAAACAGAGAAAAGTTCCCGATAGCAATTCTGAGGCTGGAATTGACCTATTCAGGAGAGGAACAGCAAAATAGGAACCCCTCTCTTGTTGTGGGTCCAGAGGGTAAGAGGAGCTGCCTGCTCAGCCCTCATTACACTGTTACCCCTAGTTCCCAGGGGATATGTTCTAAGATCCTCAGTGGATGCCTGAAACTGCAGATAGGACCAAACCCCACACATACTATGCTTTTTCCCATACATAAATGAATATGATAATTTACAACTTAGGCATGGTAAAGACTAACAACAATAACTAATAAAATAGAACAGGTCATAAAAATGCAGTGTGATAAAAGTTACCATAGATGTTAGCAACCTCAGCATACAATTCTTTTCCTTTCTTTATTAATTTGAGAACTTCCACCTTTTCACTTAAAGGAAGCACTTTATGGCTTCTCTTTGGCACATCCGAATTGCTAGCACCCCTACGCTTGTGGTTTGGGGCCACTATAGAGTAAAATAAGGGTTACTTGAACACAACCACTGCAATACTGTGCCGGTCAATCTGATGACTTAGATGATACCAGGTGACTAATGGGTGGGTACCACATACAGTGTGGATACTCTGGACAAAGGGATGATTTACATCCCAGGTGGGACAAAGCATGACGGCATGAGAGTTCATCATGCTACTCAGAACAGCATGTAATTTAAAACTTATCAATTGTTTATTTCTGGAATTTTCCATTTAATATTTTGGACCACAGTTGACCATGGGTAACTGAAATGGGGGAGAGCAAAACCACAGACAAGTGGAAACTTCTGTACTCTTTCTACAGCGGAAGTGTAGAGCTCGATCGTAATCAAGCCCCACTATCTAGTTTGCAGAACAGAGTGAACACGAGCAGGCTCGAGACTGGTTATCCTTCGAAATTCTGGCTCACAGAGTTCATCTGTTGCTGGTATCCTGGAACTGGGATTTTCAGAGTGACTGTGCCAACCTTACAGATAAGAGGCCTCAGTGTGTCTAAAGTGTCTGTGCAAACAATTTGGTCTATAGTAAACTCCTATTTCCCTTTGAGAGTCTGTAATTTTGTCACATGTTAGGCAGAGGATGCCTATGTGATCAACCCCCAGAAAACACCCTGGCCACTGAGTCTCTACTGGGCTACCCTGGGAGACAATAATCCACACCTGTACTCACAACTTTGTTGCTTGGAGAACTGAGCCCAGCATATGTGACTACAATGAGAGACATTTGGAAGCTGACTCCTTGTTTCCTCCAGACCAAATTCAATTCAGTACCAAACAAGACTAATAAAGGATATTTAATGATCTTCATGGAAATTTTTTTTTTTACAGATTTTATTTTTTTCCTTTTTCTCCCCAAAGCCCCCCAGTACATAGTTGTATATTCTTTGTTGTGGGTCCTTCTAGTTGTGGCATGTGGGACGCTGCCTCAGCATGGTTTCATGAGCAGTGCCACATCCATGCCCAGGATTCAAACCAACGAAACACTGGGCCGCCTGCCATGGAGTGTGCGAACTTAACCACTCGCCCACGGGGCCAGCCCCTTCATGGAAAATTTTTAAATTGGGGGTAGTATGTCAAAGTAAGTGAAAGGATGGCACATCTTCTCAGAAAGAACCAACCTGTGTCACCTCTCCCAAATCAGATCTTTAGAACATCCTATAAATCCTCAAAACACACTCTTTAGGAGTCAACAAAAACTACTCCTCCAAACCTAATAAGAGGAACAATTGTCAAAAAATGAACAAAGTGTTCTGAAGAATAAAGTGGCAGTCCACCAAACACACATCAAGAACTTTTAAGCTACAGGATGCCACATGATACAGTATTAGCAGACAGACAGACAGAACAAGGGAAAGGAAAAGTATCTTCCGTGGGTTGGGATTTAACATGGAAAGTCGGTGAAGGACAGAGTGGGCACTGGAGAGCAGTGCCAAGTACCATGAGAGCTTTAATACCTGGGGCAGGGACACACTGTGATCTAAGCGGAAAAATGCATTATATTCCCCTCTGTTCCATGGACAATAGTCAATTCATCATAGATCTAAATGTTAAAGATAAAACGGGGCCACCTTCAGAAGTCACAGGTAAGTGATTCATTGACACAATAGGGAGAAAATTCTCATAGAAGAAAAAGAGTAAGCCATAAAGCCAGAGACTGACAAATTCAAATATACTAAAATCAAGGTAATTAGACAAACAAAAGGGAAAAAAATCAGCAGCACAAAAGGGTTAGTTTGCAGAGTAAACACGAACAGATGCATAATTTTAAAATGGTAAAAGAAGCAAAACACTCATCAGAAGATGAAATACCATGCATGAAAAATGACCGTCACCTTGTAATGAGGTAAGAGGCAAATAAAATGTCAAGTCCCCATTTCACAGTGATTAGAACAAAAATTCATCAATTTAATAACCCCACGTATTGAAGACCATTGTCAACAAATCAATAAATTATGCACAAATAGTGGAGGGCTCCAATGATACACTCCATTACCATTTCCTGTAAATTTGAACCCAATCGCTAGCTACAGCCCAGTAATTTTTTTCTTATGTTTTATTCTATTTTTATTGCAGTAAGAGTGGTTTATAACATTATATAGATTTCAGGTGTACATCGTTGTACATTTCGATTTCTGTGTAGATTACATGTTCACCACCCAAAGACTGAATATAATCCATTACCACACGCATGTGCCTAATCACCCCTTTCGCTCTCCTTCCTCCCCCCTTCCACTCTGCTAACCCCCAATCCAATCTGTTTCTATATGTGTGTTTGTCATTGTTTTTATCTTCTACTTATGAGTGAGATCATACAGTATGGAACTTTCTCCCACTGACTAATTTCTCTCAGCATAATACCCTCCGGGTCTATCCATGTTGTCACAAATGGCCAGATTTCATCATTTCTCATGGCTGAGTAGTAATTCCATTGTGTACGTATACCACATCTTCTTATGCATTCGTCCCTTCATGGGCACCTAGGTTGCTCCCAGGTCTTGGCTATTGTGGATAATGCTGCAGTGAACACAGGGGTGCATGTATCTTTACGCATTTGTGTCTTCAAGTTCTTTGGATAAATACGCAGCAGTGGAATAGCTGGATCATAGGATATATCTTAATTTTAATTCTTTGAGGAATCTCCATACTGTTTTCCCATAGTGGGCTGCACCAGTTTGCACTTCCCACCAGCAGTGTATGAGGGGTCCCCTCTCTCCACATCCTCTCCAACACTTATTGTTTCCTGTCTTGTTAATTATAGTCATTCTGACGGGACTGAGGTGATACCTCACTGTAGTTCTGATTTGCATTTCCCTGAGACTCATGTTGAACATCTTTTCATATGCCTGTTGGCCATCTGTATACCTTCTTTGGACAAATGTCTGTTCAGATCTTCTGTCCATTTTTTAATTAGGGTTGTCAGTTTTTTGTTGTTGAGATGTATGAGTTCCTTTATATATTTTGGATATTAACTCCCTATCAGACACATGGTTTGGAAATATCTTCTCCCAGTTGTTAGGTTGTCTTTTCATTTTATTGATGGTTTCCTTTTGCTGTGCAGAAGGTTTTCAGTTTGATAAAAGTCCCATTTGCTTATTTTTTCTATTGCTTCCCTTGCCCAGTCAGACATGGTACTTGATAATATGCTGCCAAGACTGATGTCGAAGAGCATACTGCCTATGTTTTCTTCAGGAAGTTTCATGGTTCCAGTCTCACATTCAAGTCTTTAATCCATTTTGAGTTAATTTTTGTGTATGGCGTGAGATAATGGTCTACTTTCATTC